AAAGTATTATGTGCATATAAAAAGATATTGTTACATTTTCTATAGAAATTTATCATTTAGACCTTTCTCTTCCTTTTCAATTTAAAAGCATTGTTTCATACTTTTCCACAGGGGATGTTGGCTGGAAAGCTATTTTCTCACCCTACATAAATGGGCCTCTAGCAGAAGGTTTCCAGAGAAACTATAAAAAATTATTTTCTCTCAGCTTCCTGCTTGGGTTAAAAAATATTCTTTTTAATAGCAGAGTCATTGAGCTGCCTGATAAATGAAAAGAAATGTTTTTAAATAAAATCATAGAATGTTAAAGATCATTTAATCTAGCACTGAGTTTTCAAAGAACCTTCCCAGAGACCACACAGAGCTGAAAAGTAAAGGGAAATTCCAGATCCCTGGCCCTTCACTCCAGCTTCAACCATAACAGCTTTACTTTCTCATCTGTTACCGAGCTTCCACACTAAAGATTTCATTTGAACAAAGGATTCCTTAGCTAAAAGTTTTAAAATACCAATTTAGGTTAGTCTCCTCATTTTATAGAAAAATAAACTGAGCCCAGACAGAAACAATAAAGTTGGTATAGTAGAAAGAACATTTGAAATCAGATACCCTTAGGTTCAAATCCCAACCTTCTCACTAACTGCCTGACCTTAAGCAAATCAGTTGACCTCAACCTTAATTTCCTCATTTGTATAAAGAAGACAAAATCTAAATCATAGGCTGTTATGAGATAATGTATAAATAGTGTTATACCCAAAACTAGATGTTCAACAAATTTTGGTTCTCTACTCTCCATTCAGTCACAGAACTAATTAGTGGGAAACTCAGTGAAGATTCCAGGCCTTAATGACCAGTCAGGATGGCAAAGTAGGTAAATCCTGTGCTTACCTTCTCTCACGACCACATCAAAATTACAACTAAACTACAGAACAACCATCATTGAGAATTGCCTGAAGTCTAGCTGAACCAAAGCCCTACAACTACAGATGTACGAAAGAAACCACCTCAGGATTGATAGGAGGGGCAGAGACGTGGAACGGACTGGTCCCACACCTGTGTGTGACCATTAAAAATCTGGAGGGATATCTTGGCTGCAGAGTTTTCCCCCCTTCCCACTCCCACTCCCCACCCCCGGAGTAGCAAGAGATTCCAGCTGCTTACA